GTGAATGTATGTAGGCTTTAAACAATCAAATTTAAAGGTTGAACTTTTGAGCCAAATCTTTATTGAGCTGCTCATATGACAAATTTTTGTCCATTTAAACGATACGATAACGGTATGATGGCAATCACGGTGTCTTTTTGGTTGCACTGGGCAATGGAAAGTGCACTGTATAATGTGTTAGGAAATACACCAGAAATAATCTATTCATCTCTGGAAGTTTTTATAGCAGAAAGGCTAAAAAAATCTGAAACGGAAAATTTCGGCGGATAATGTTGATTTTTCCATATACCTTGAATAGATATTTCAAAGTGAGAGATGCCAAGAAAGTGGGATTCGGATTGGACTTTTTGTTTCGTATCGTTTTGATATTCGCTGTTTAAAGGGCCTTATTGATACTTTTCGTTGTTTTCGTTGAACTGAGTGCAAAACTAGCTTTTCATTGTTTAAAAATATTTGATCAAAACTGCAATTTACATTGATGTCTTTTTTTGGCTTTGTCAAGTATTGAACAGATTTTGATCCTAGCAGCATGTATTATAACTTTTAGTACTCTCATTTGGTGTAGCTTATCACGGCAAGTAAACGCTATACATTGCTGATTGATTTTATAGGTTTTGTCACTGGAATGACTTTAAAGCGTATCCAAGAAATTGTTTCATCTCAGTCAGAGCCGAATCGTTCATCTCAGAGCGTATGTATATTTCATATTCCTTAATGTTTATTATTTCTCGAGTTCAGATGTTTTATCTGCTGCATATTTTTCATATTTAGGATGAGATCCATCTGTATCTTCACGAAAGAAAATTTGATTCTGCTTTGAAGATCTACCTTAGCTTGAAAGATCCTCAGATTTTTGCTGTAATTGACAAGTATCTGCTTTTTGAACAGGTATTATGAGTTTTTTGATGAATGCTTTCTGATTGATGAACTTTCTAGGTTAAGCTTTGCGACTTCTAGATAACGAAGATAACGTACCCGCTTCTTTGGTCATGGCGAAGATAGCCCGTCAACCGAAACTGCAGGTAGGCGATAATAAGTGTGTTGTTTATTTCAGGTTTTGTGGTTTAGTTTGAATACAAATTGTGTATTCCAGCTTGCTTATTTGACAAAACTTCTGAACAAAAATGAGGGAGCTGAGTATGCTGATCAAGCTGTTCGTCTCTATGCTGATCATG